TGATTTTCTGAGAAATTTGAAGTGGGTGTTATTTAGACTTGTTAGAAATAGTATAAGAAGGTTGTATATAAAATTTAAAGTCATTTAATGGAGATTTGGACTGGTTTTGAACAAGAATTGCAACTGAAAATCGTGGAAGACGAAGTTCTTCCATAGATGCTTGTACAAAGGTGTATACACGTGTATAAGATGTGTTTATACACTCATATACACTATTATACAATATTATACATAATTATACAAAAAACTGACTTCGTCTTCTTCCTTGCGTCTTTTCTGAAATTTAACTCAAATCTTGCTCAAATCTACTCCAAATCACTTCAAATTAAAATTTTGAACTCCTTTTGATATTTCAATCCACTGGAACAATACCCAATCCAAACAACTAACAAACTCAAATGAATCCTATTTTCAAAAACAAAGATTTGAATGGCCTTCAATGGTGGACTTCTACTCTTCAATTTTCTTCCATTGCAACTAGGTGATATAGGGGGAGAAGCAGTAATGGCGGACGGCCCCTTGAAGCATATGTAGAAGATGTGACAAGAAAAGAGAGTGAAAGCAATGGTTGTAAGAACACAGATTTAACTCCATAGCTTCTAGAAGCAATGGTTGTAAGAACTCAAATTTTGAATTTGCTACTGCTTTCAAAATATGTACAATATGGGCTAGATCAGGTAAAACTTAAAAACATGGACCATTTTTTTGTTATGGTGTGATGTCAAGTGTATTTTTTTGTAATTCTTTCTTTTAGTTTATGTATTTGCAGATATTAATTAAATGAACTAACTGTAGATACTTTTAGCAGGTTAAGGCTCTTATATGCCAAAGCTCAGAATTTTCAGAACCTAACTCACTTCTTCCACGTATATGTCTATTACAGTATTGCTACTATTTATCTATTGTGTTAAAAGTGAAAATTAGATATAACTCACAATTATCGAGATATATTCTACTATTAAATTGTAAATATTACTCTAATAAAGTTATCAGTATTTGGAAAAGAATGTCTGCAAACAAAGATACTACAAATTTTAGTATAACGACTTCGACAGACTAAGGAACAACAATTTAAATGCTAATATGAACAATTTCGGTTAAGATAGTTTATAGCATAAAAAAGTTTAAACAAGGGGTTTGAATTTTGTTTAAAATATGGGGTACTGAGTACATTGTTTCATGATTTCTAACCGTTGGAGATACAGAGTATGAGTTGATGGAAGAAATCAGAAGATAATTACTGCTAGAAACTGCTATCTAGATTGTTTTAAAGATGGAATATCTTTAATTTATTTGTTGTGCTTGGAATATCTTAGCTTACTAATTCTTCATCCATTAGATAAAATATTTACTTATGCATAATGTCTGCATATGACTTGCGTCTTATTAGAAAAAAGTGAGATTGCAGCTTCTAAATGTAGCATCCAACTATATAAACTAACAAAACCTAGCTAAAAGTTGTCAACACTAAGTGTCCAGAAAAAACTTTTCTTGAAGCCACCAAAAATTTGATGTAATAAGTCCCCCCCCCCCTCTCTCTCTCTCCTTTNACGTACCCCCCCCCCTCCCCCTCTCTCTCTCTCTCTCTCTCTCCTTTTACACAATTTTGATTATGGTTTTCTATTTCTTTTCCTCTTAGTTCTTTTGGGTACAAATTTGAAATTATAACGATTTAATTGTGACTTTCCAATTATCTATTCCCTCCCACTTGAAATGCAATCTCTTCTTCCACTTGATTTTCCTAGAGCTAAATATATACACTCATAAAGAATGATGGTCAATTGAGTTAGGTTTTGATACATGCTGGATGAGCATGCCTAACAATTTCCAAGTCAACATCATAGCATTGGAGTGCTTTAAAGGAGTCAAGATCAAGAAGGCTATACTTGTAAGTTCCTTAGAATTTGCTTAGGGGTATTTGGGTCATTTGCCCACTCTAGTATAAATAGCCCTTAAGGCTTTTATTTTAGGCAGACTTGATGAATGATAAACCTTGAAGACATGCAAGTCTCACACTCTTTCCTTATCTTTTAATTAATGCGTTTATGCTTATGCCTTTAATTCCTTTATTGGTTTGTTTATGCTTTCATTAGTGCTAAATTAGTCTTAGTTGGTGATCAATTAGTAGTGAATGCTTAATTGCTTAATTACTTTATCCGGATTTTCAAGAGTTGTCAATCTCTTGAGGGTTTTCATAGCTTAGCGTTACAATTGATTGAGTTCATAGAGGTAATTAGGCTTCATAGCCTAATTGGTTCTTGTTCTTCCAATAAATTGTAGATCTAGCTCTTATTGTTGATTCTGTGTATTTTGTCATATCCGTATTTTGGTTCATAGTTTGTATCATCTTGGTATCAGAGCGGAGGTCAAGGATTCGTTTATCAATCCTTGGGTTTTGTTTTGATTATCATTAAATCATTAAATCACGAAAAAAAAGAAGAAAATTATTTTGGGTTACTGTTCATCTGTTCTCTGTTTTGTTTCCAGAATTAGAACTTCGCTACTGTTCCTAATACTACTGTTCGAAATGCCTTCTAAAATTCTGAAAACTTCTGAAGATTTGGCTATCGATCGATTCGTAGCTCGAGTAATTACTGGTTTGAGTTTCGATTGAAGCTGAGTTTGCGCTTCTGAACCCTAAGACGACGTGAACTAGAAGAGTTGAGAAGTTTGGGGATTTGCTCCGAATCAAAATTTTGAGCTCAAAATTGATTGGTATTTCTATTCGTTGTTAACGTGATTCTGAACTCGTGATTGAAGATTGAGATCGATTTGAGCTGATTTTCTAGGGTTTTGGGTCGAAAATTTGAACCGATTGTGCGAAGAAGAAGATGACCTAGGGTTCGTCGATTTCATGAGTGTTTGAACAAATTGATTTCGGAATTTTGTTCGAGCTGTTGTCGAGAGTTTGTTGCTGGAGTTTGGGTCCAGTAGAAGACGTTTTGAGTGAGGTTTACCAGAAGAATTTGAGTCGAGCTTGAATCAGTCGAAGAACACTTGTTTCGATTGAAGAACTTCTCGAACTGATTCGAGTCGATTCGAGCAGCTGGTAAATCGAAGAAGAACATTTGTAGAGCTGATTCGAATTGCTTTTAGGTTGATCCGGAGTCGATTCTCTCAAGGAGACAAGAACAACAGCTGTGTTCTTCAATTTTTTTTTCCGAGATTCATTTGCAACTGAATTGGCTCCACGAAGGTAATCCCCTCGACGATTGAGCTTTCCAATTACAGTGTCGATTGAATTCAGAAGAAAACTCCAGGTTCATATTCTCTAACTCCTAAAGGTTTGAAAGCATGTTTGAGTTTCTAAGTTCATGAACTTCTAAGTTTGAAAACTTGATTGTTTGAGCTGAAAGTTCTGTTCGATCCTGAGTTTGATTCATTGAGTCGTCAATTGTAGTTGACTTGAATCTAGGACAATAATCTGAATTGAGTTGTTGCTGCGTTCTTCAAATTTTTGGGTTCAATTTGGAGTCGAGCGAGTCGATTCTGGTTTGATTCTTTGAGATTAAACTGAACTTCTTCTTGATATTTTTGCTGGATATTATTGGGTTGAATCAGTGAGGCAATTCGAGCTTGTTGTTGATTGTGATAGAGTGAATTTGTGAGCACGACTAGAGGTTGCTTTTGAATTGTGACTAGAAGTATCAGTTTTTTTTGAGCAGCTGTGACAGTAAAACTTGTAGCAGAACATATAGAAACTGAGTACAAAATAATTGACAGAGGAATAGCTACAGCTCAGTAAAGCTTCAGTTTGAGCAAGTTCAATTCCGGAAGTGTATCCAGAAAACTTCCTGTACATCATTGATTTGGTTCTAGAAATTGAAGCGTGGAAGTAAGTTTTCTCGGAATTGCAAGTTTAAGTTTGCAGATCTGTCCAGCTTTACAGATGTGGCCAGTTTTTGCAAAATCTGACCACTTTTACAAAATGTCCAATTTTTTTTGCGAATATGACCAAAGTTCGAAAAAATGTCTAGTTTTGTTGTTTCTTTTCTTTTCTTTCTTTCCAATTTGTGGTAAACTAAACTCTCAACTAGATTAACTTGATATTAGTTCATATTGAGTTTAATTCTAGTTTCTTTGTGTGCTTAACTTTCTTTCGTGCCAATTGTTTCGTGCTTTTGTCTTTTAATTTCGTTGTGAATTGCTTGGTTCAAGTCCGTTTGCTTTTAATTGTCCGTCCTTGTGAATACACAACTTCCACTCCACCCCGAAGACGGTTGGAACTTGTTGTGAAACCTTGGAACTTAAGTTTGCTAGCAATTTTGACATTCACTACTTGAGCGGGAAAAAGCAAGAGCGAATAGGACTTTGAGCACGCAAGAGCCAATTGGTGCAAAGTGGGGTTGAGCGACATCAAGTGAGTTTGTGAGGACTTTTACTACTAACTTGTTTGCTCATTTTGTAGGTATCATGGAGTACGGACAAACTTCTACTCCTAATTGTGATCCACGGAGTGAGACTCCGATGCATGATGTTGTTTCTATGCTTTATGACATAAGCGAGAAGGTTACCAACTTAAGTGAGAAGGTTGCCAATGTTAGCATACGGTAACACCAAACGCACTACAAAAAAAAGTTAAAATTGTAACGGAAATTTTGTGACCGATAGGTCCATCACAAATTTGTGACGGAGTTGTGATGGATCACCCTTACATAGCCGAAAATTTAAGGAAACAATAATTTCTTTAACATATATTCCATTTATGACGGATTTGTGACGGATTCGTAACAGAATTTAGCCGGAAAGATTTTGTGACAAAAATAATCAGTCACTAAATTTTGGCGGCAATTAGTGTGGCCAAATTCCGTCACAAATATTATTAAAAAATATATATAGTTAATAGATTTTTTTTTTGTGATGCCCAAATGCATCTTAAATTTGTGACCGTCGATTAATCCGTCACAAAAATGTGGGACCCCATGTGTCTGTCACATTTTTAGAAAATTTGGGACTAACTTTTACTTTTCCCACCTTACTTTACTTTACCGCCCATATCAAAATTCTTTTGGTCCAAAGACCTATTTTGTTTTCCCCCAAAATGAAATCACCACTGAGAACCTCCTTTCACAAAACCCTTCTATACCACCATTAGTAGACTACATTCAACCAGTATTCTTTAACCAACAAGCTTCGATTTCTCTGTATTTTGGTGTTCTGTCAATTGCTTTATCCTTGTAAGTATCTCCTCTTTCACTCTCATTTTTTCTTTTATTTTCTTTTTTTTGTTTTGTTTTGGTTGTAAAATTAAATTTCATATGATGTATTTTGTGGTCAGGTAAAGCGATTACCTCAAGGTTGTGAGGCACCATTTATTGAGGCAGCATCCCAGTTTCTCAACGATATGCTATTGTTGTTGGTATCTCCTCTTTTACTTTGATTTGCTCTTTTTTAATATATTTGGTCATAAATGCCGAAGCATTTAGACAGATTTATGGTTCTTTTCTACTCTATAGTTTTCGAAATTCTCAGTAGTTTGCTTGAACAAAGTGGTATCTTGAAGTGAATATAATCGTTGACCCATCACTGAATACTTCAAATTTGTGAAAATATCTTAGTGGGTCTTTATCATATATTCTAGAATAGAGAAATCGCGAAGTGAAAGACTCAAATGAGTTAGTTTCTCTACTAGTAAAATAAAATGAACATTTGAATTTTTACTGATATGTGATCTTTTAAAGATAGTTTATTTTATTTCGTTATTTGAGTTTTGAGATATGGAAGGTTTTTTAATTTGTAATTTCCGGTGTGTATACAAATAAAGAACTCTATTAGAAGTTCTCTTTAGTTGTTTGGATCGACCATGCAGAAGTGATGTATGTAATTAATTTAATTTTTCTGAGTCTTAAAATGAGATATTGTGTTGCCCTTCTGATAGCATTCATGGCAGCTCAACATCATTAAAGGAGAAGGATGAAGCTCCGGAAGCTCCAAGAAGGCCCATGACAAGGTCTCAAACAAAGAAATTTCAAGACAAGCTTAATGGACTTCAATTGGCAATTAAAAAGTGTTTTATAATAGAAGAAGAGCTCCAGCACAAGGAGGATCTTTGGGCCAAGTCTTACAACTATTTTGAGGCCAAAATTAAAGTCCAAGAGGAGATGGAATGAGGTCCAAATATGCCCCAAAAGAGAGGAATTTTCAGCAGCCCAAATAAGCCCAAAAATAGTTTCTAGAATATATATTTAATAGTTGTTTTAATCTATGTTGACTTGCATTGGCCTATATGTATGTTGACTACATTGGTCTTAGTGTGGGTAGTCTTCTATGCTTCTAGGGAATATAATTCTCATTTATTGAAGTCTTGACTAGCTCCTTCTTTACTACTATATAAAGGGGTGCTTGTCTTCCATTGTAGAAGATCATTGAAGATTAATATTATTATTGTGAGTTCTTTTGAACCTTTGTGAACTTTACTTTGAAGATTTATCTTGCAACCCTAACTAGTTCATAGCTTAAGGTAGTAAGATAATTTTCTTTCTTGTGATATCTTTGGTTTCTTTTGATATTCTTCGAAGGCGACTAGTTTCTTTTACTAGTTGTTGTCGTAAGTTATTCAAACTAGAAGTCAAGATCCGAATCAAGTTCTTGATTAGCTTATCTCTAGTGAAGGCAATTGGTTTCATAACCAACTTGTTGTCATTAGGATCTTGTCAAAATCTAGATTAACATAATCTCGGGGTTCTTGGACCTTTCCTCGAATTTCGACATATCTAGTTTATTTTTCTTGCTCCGCTTGCATTTCTTTACTACTTTCGCATTTCATCAACTTATTTTTTTCAAGTTCTTGGATCTCCCAACCTTTGTGTTATCAAGTGGTATCAGAGCGGTTGTATCAAGATTCCGTTCTTGATAAATCTTGGGGATTTCTTGAACAAAGGAGCAAAAAAAAAAACGAAAAAAAAGGAGAAACATATTTGCTTTTCAAGAAATCAGATTTTTATTTGTGTTTGTTTCCAAAATCAAGGAAGGAAACAAGAAGAGGAGATCCTAATACTTTGATCTTGTTCAAAAAAAAAAAAATCCTTTTCTTTGTTCGAGGTTTGTTTCAACTAAATCCTACTCTTTCTAGGATTGATTCTTCACTTTCTTTAGTGCCCCAAATTTCGTTGTTTTACTACTAAGGGCTTTGATACGAGTTGGGTTTAATTATAAATCTACAAGGTATTTTCCAAAGGTTAATTGAGAGGAAAAAGAAAAGAGTGAGTGAGAACAATTGAGGGAAAGAGCCAAAGTTTGAGTGATAACTATTATTATTATTATTTTAAAAAGATGTCTCATACAGGTGCTAGTGATGATGAACAGAGGGCTCTCCAAGAAGCCGAAATCCGAGCAAGAAATGATTTCACTCTACAAGCTATGCATCAACAATTCGAGAGATGAACTTGCAATTCCAAGAGATAAGGGATACTATTGCCGAACAAAATGAGACAATAGCTGCACTTAGGAGGGGAAATCAACCTGATGTACAACCTCGAAATAATCCTAGGCCTCTTAATAGAAGAAATGTACCCCATGCCCCCATTGTAAATCAAGAAAACCCTATAGATGATTTTGTTGATGATCTTGATGTAAATCTAGATAGGGTGGGAAAAGATAGGAGGGGACAACGAGGTAGAGTAGAAGATGATAATATTAGCAGCATAAAAATGAAGATGACATCTTTCAAGGGCACAAGAGACCCAGACTTGTACCTTGACTGGGAGCGGAAAGTTGAGGCCATCTTTGACTGTCACCACTACTCTGAAGGTAAGAAGGTTAAGCTTGCTGTTGTTGAATTTTCTGATTATGCTTCTATTTGGTGGAAAAAGCTTACAAGAGACAGACAACAAGATGGAGAACCACCCATTGCTACATGGACCGAGATGAAAATTAGTACCGCTTTGAGATTGAATCTTTAGAACCATGGGCAGATGCCGTACACTTGAGTGGCAAAGGAAAGCGAGACCTTACCTTTTTTTCCAGGCCTGTTCGGACATACGGTTCCCGCGGAAGATCAAGTTGGTGAGCTGTGTGATGGGAAACCTTCCCGCACGGTTCGGAGAGCAGTCATGAGGAAGAGGTTTGTGCCTTCCCACTTTCAAAGAGACCTACAACTGCATCTTCAAACCTTGAAGCAAGGAACCATGACTGTTGATGAATACTTTAAATCTATGGATATGGCTATGATCCAAGCTAATTGTATGGAAGAAGAAGAGGTCACTATGGCTAGATTTCTTAATGGTTTAAATAGAGAAATAGCTGATGTAGTAGAGATACAACAATATGTAACTATAGATGAATTAGTAGATTTGGCTGTAAAAATAGAAAAGCAAAATAAAAGAAGGCAGCAAGCTAGCTCATGGAGAAGTTGGCCAAACACCAATTCCAAGAAGCCATGGCCAAAACAAGAAGTGATTTCTAGATCTCAAGAAGACAAGGGGAAAGGTAAAGTTGATGTGAAAGAGGGAAGTAAAGCTTTCAATTCTAGATCCTCTAAACCTTCTAGTTCCATTTAATGTCATAAATGTCATGGAAGAGGCCATATTATGCATGAATGTCCAAATAGAAGAAATATTCTGTTGAGAGAAAATGGAGGATATGAGAGTGAAAAAAGTGAGGAAGAAGAGAGAGGAGTAAGTGAAGATGATGTAGAACTTCCTAATGATGGTTTGGTTGGGGTAATTAGGAGGACTATAGATGGAGAATATGAAGGAGAAAAAAGTGAGGAAGAGGAAGAAGAGGAAGGTGTGAGTGAAGATGATGTAGAGTTACCTTTCAATGATGGTTTGGTTGGGGTAGTTAGGAGGATTATGACTATTAATTTAGGAATCAGTAGTGAAGAACAAAGAGAAAATATATTTCATACTAGGTGTGGAATAAAGGGGAAAACTTGTTCTATGATTATTGATAGTGGTAGTTGTGCTAATGTGGTGAGTTCACACTTGGTGAACATGTTAGAACTTGCATGCATGAAACACCCTAAGCACTATAGACTCCAATAGTTGAATGATAGTGGTGAACTGAAAATCAACAAACAATGCATGATTTCCTTCAATGTTGGTAGGTATGTGGATGATGTTCTTTGTGATGTGGTTCCTATGCAAGCTTGTCACATCTTGTTAGGTCGTCCGTGGCAATATGATAGGAATGTTTTTCATGATGGAAGAAAGAATAGATATTCTCTTGAGATTAATGGCAAGAAGTATACTCTTGCACCTTTAAGTCCTTCTCAAGTGTTTGAGGATCAAAAGAGATGGAGAGAAATAATGGGAAAACAAAGGGGAGGAAAAAAAAATGAGCTTGAGGGAAAAGAAAAGAAAGAAGGCCAAGAGGTAGAAAAAAAGAGAGATGGCCTAGAGAGAGAGAGAGAGAGAGGGCAGCAACTTGGGCAAAGTGGTAAAAAAGGGTTTGAGTAATAAAAAGGAAAGTTTTGGTGAGCGGAAAGAGGCAGAGAAAAAGAAAAAGGAGAGTTTGTACATAAAAGCCAAAGAGTGTTTGAATGCAAGGAAAGAGGGGTTGCCCATTATACAACTTACTTATAAAGAAGTTTTGATTAATTCTGAATCACTAACTTCTTCTTTGCCAAGTAGTGTTTCTTCTCTTTTGCAGGATTTTGATGATATCTTTCTGAGGATATCCCTAAAGGTCTACCACCTTTGCGTGGCATTGAGCACCAAATTGACTTTGTGCCTGGAGCACAAATTCCAAATAGGCCTGCTTATAGGAGTAATCCAGAAGAGACAAAAGAGCTTCAAAGGCAAGTTGAGGAGTTGCTTGAGAAAGGTTTTGTGAGAGAAAGCATGAGCCCTTGCTCTGTTCCCGTCCTATTAGTACCCAAAAAGGATGGAACTTGGAGGATGTGCGTGGATTGTAGAGCAATCAACAAGATAACGGTAAAGTATCGTCATCCTATTCCTCGTCTTGATGACATGTTGGATCAATTGCATGGATCCAAAATCTTTTCTAAAATTGATCTAAAAAGTGGTTACCATCAGATTCGAATGAATCCTGGAGATGAATGGAAAACTGCTTTTAAGACCAAATATGGGCTTTATGAGTGGTTAGTTATGCCTTTTGGCTTGACTAATGCACCCAGCACTTTCATGAGATTGATGAATCATATTTTTAAGGATTTTCATGGGAAATTTGTGGTAGTTTATTTTGATGATATCTTGATTTATTCTAAAAATCTAGATGAGCATGTGGAACACTTAAAACAAGTTTTTGAAGTTCTCAGAAAGCAACACTTGTTTGCTAATCTTAAAAAGTGTACTTTTTGTGTGGATCGTGTGGTATTCTTGGGTTTTGTGGTTAGTTCTAAGGGAGTTGAAGTTGATGAAGAGAAAATCAAGGCAATTAAAGAGTGGCCTAAACCTAACAGTGTAACTGAAGTTAGGAGTTTTCACGGGCTTGCTAGTTTTTATAGGAGATTCGTGCGAGACTTTAGCACCATTGCTGCTCCTTTAACTGAAGTTGTTAAGAAGGATAAGGGTTTTTCATGGGGAAAAGAACAAGATGATGCTTTTAACTTGTTGAAAGAAAAATTGTGTTCTGCTCCTCTTTTGCAATTACCCGATTTTTCTAAATCTTTTGAGGTTGAATGTGATGCCTCTGGAAAAGGAATAGGTGCTGTTTTGATGCAAGACTCGAAGCCCATTGCATACTTTAGTGAAAAGCTGAGTGGAACTACACTGAACTACTCAACTTATGACAAAGAGCTATATGCTTTGGTAAGGGCTTTAGCTACATGGCAACATTATTTGTGGCCAAGAGAGTTTGTGGTTAAGACTGATCATGAATCCTTGAGATATTTGAAAAGCCAAGGTAAGCTTAATCGGCGCCATGCAAAATGGGTTGAATTCATTGAAACTTTCCCATATGTGATTGCTTACAAGCAAGGAAAAGAGAATGTGGTTGCTGATGCACTTTCAAGAAGGTATGTCTTGGTTTCTTCTCTTACTTCTAAATTGATGGGTTTTGATCAAATCAAGGAACTTTATTCTAATGATTCTGATTTT